ATGTTACGTTGGCTCAAATTTTAAAAATATCTATTGTTAATTTGAATGAAATTTATCATAAATTCTGGTTACAGATGTTAACAGAAAACATGGATATAACCTTGTCTTAAAATGTCTGGAAAACATTGTTTAAACGTTATATAAACAACAAACATTTATGATTCAAATCTTGAAAAAAAAATTCACCATTTACTTTTTAGCTCACCTGAGCCGAAGGCTCAAGTGAGCTTTTCTGATCACATTTTGTCCGTCGTCCGTCCGTCTGTCTGTCTGTCCGTCTGTCCGTCTGAAAACTTTTCACATTTTCGACTTCTTCTCAAGAACCACTGGGCCAATTTTGACCAAACTTGCTACAAAGCATCCTTGGGTGAAGGGAAATTTAAATTGTTAAAATGAAGGGAAATATCCCCTCACAAGGGGAGATCATTAAGAAAAGACACAAATAGGGTGGGGTCATTAAAAATCTTCTTCTCAAGAACCACTGGGCCAGAAAAGCTGAAACTTATGTGAAAGCATCCTAGGGTAGTGTAGATATTAAATTGTTCAAATCATGACCCCCAGGGGAAGGGCGGGGCCACAATGGGGAATCAAAGTTTTACATAGAAATATATAGGAAAAATCTTTGAAAATCTTTTTCTCAAGAACTACTGGGCCAGAAAAGCTGAAACTTATTTGAAAGCATCCTAGGGTAGTGTAGATATTAAATTGTTCAAATCATGACCCCCAGGGGAAGGGCGGGGCCACAATGGGGAATCAAAGTTTTACATAGAAATATATAGGAAAAAATCTTTGAAAATCTTCTTCTCAAGAACCACTGGGCCAGAAAAGCTGAAACTTATGTGGAAGCATCCTGGGATAGTGTAGATTTTAAATTGTTCAAATCATGACCCCCGGGGAAAGAGCGAGGCCACAATTGGTAATCAAAATTTTACATAGAAATATATTGGAAAAATCTTTGAAAATCTTCTTCTCAAGAACCACCGGGCCAGAAAAGTTGAAACTTATGTGGAAGCATTCTTGGGTAGTGTAGATTCTAAATTGTTCAAATCATGACCCCCGGGGAAAGAGCGAGGCCACAATGGGGAATCAAAGTTTTACATAGAAATATATGGGAAAATCTTTGAAAATCTTCTTCTCAAGAACCACTGGGCCAGAAAAGCTGAAACTTATGTGGAAGCATCCTGGTATAGTGTAGATTTTAAATTAAATCATGACCCCCGGGGGAAGGGTGGGGCCACAATTGGTAATCAAAATTTCTCATAGAAATATATTGGAAAAATCTTTGAAAATCTTCTTCTCAAGAACCACCGGGCCAGAAAAGTTGAAACTTACGTGGAAGCATTCTTGGGTAATGTAGATTTTAAATTGTTCAAATCATGACCCCCAGGGGAAGGTGGATCCACAATGGGGGGATCAAAGTTTTACATAAAGATATATAGGAAAAATCTTTGAAAATCTTCTTCTCAAGAACCACTGGGCCAGAAAAGCTGAAACTTATTTGCACATGGAAGGATCCTGGGGTAGTTGATTTCAAAATGTCTTAATTATGATCAGTGGGGTAGGGTGGGGATACATAATGTATTACAAGGGGGAAATCTGGTTAAGAAAAGCATGGACATCGCTTCTCAGGTGAGCTATGTGGCCCATGGGCCTCTTGTTGTTTGTTTGTTTGTTATAAATTATTTAAATCTTTTAAGCATATAGAGGAATTAAAAATTTAGACAAAAAAGTTTTTTTTAATCAGTTCTTTTTTAATTGTTTCATTACAAAGTCCTAAAAACATTGTGAACAATTTATAAAAAGCCGTTTTAAAATATCTTTTCATAGATGTGATGTGTTTCAACAAAGTTATGCAGTGCATTTATTTACTTACAAGTGTTGTTACCTCTCCGATAATGTGTTTATCAAAAGTAAATTGAGTGACACAGCGGGATTCCGACTGAGAAATCACATTAATTTTCGTGGTTTTCGAGGCATGGGTAGACCCACAAGTTCATGATCAGAGCTGAATGTAAAATTCTTATATGCATTACTTCAAAATATTTTCTAGCCACGAATTCAAATTCTCACAAACCAATATTTTTCCTTAAACCTCGAAGGTTCATAGTGAAAGAAAACAACAAAATCCACGAACATGAATCATTTCGTTTATGTAAGAGAATGCAAATATAATGTAAATGAAACCTTCACTTGCAGATTTCCATTGCTTTTCTTTACTTTTCACATTTATCTATTACATCGTTATTAGAACCACTTTCATTGTTAAATAATTTCTAATTGCAAATATCAATTGCTCAACCAAAATGGATTGCTCAGAAGAAAGAGAGAGAGAGAGAGACAGACAGACAGACAGACAGACAGACAGACAGACAGCTAGACATCCAGACAGAGAGTCTGTCCAAACTATTAATCATCACGAACTAAGCATAAGTTAATAGTTTATTATTTACTATTCGTAATACATATTTCAATAAAAATATTTTAGGTTGTAAATTTTTTGGCATATGCACATATTCGAATTGGTGCAGTGAATATATTACCAGGTATGGATAAGATAACAGTGTTCGACATGTTTTTCTCGACATTCATCAAGTGCATTGGAACATGCTCAGCATAGTCTCAGACCCGGGTGTTTGTTCCCTTCCAATTATATCTTATATTTTAAATAATTTTGACCTGTGATCTTGACAAAAAATCATTGGTGGTTGGTTCAATATGTCTGCGACTTACCGTTTTATTATTTTGTTTATTCTTTGTTAACATTAAAAATTTTCAGAGGCAATCTTTCATTTAAATATTTGATATTACATATCAATCCTTTTAACTGTAATATACAATATTTGAATTCATTCTTTGATTGACTAAGATAAAAGAAACTGCTGTAAGTTCGTAATTTAAAATATTTATGGAATGTCTATTCTCCAAACTATAATATTCGGCGAACTCACTCTCTATTGTTTACAGTTTATAAAGCGTTAATTGTCCCAATCCCGTTTATACCGCGTTAATTCAATATATTTGCACTGTAAGGGTAATAAAATTTTTCATGTGATTATCTGTATTTTTTGCTTGACGAAACTGGTGAAGAAGAAGGTATGGTTTCCATACAAATTTTGCCCTGTGATTTTCTAAAAAATGAAACTGGTGTAAAAGTTGAAAACTCGTGCTTTTTAAATAATTGAAATTCAATGCAAAAAAATCATGCAAGTCATTTTTCTCACATGTGTTTTTAAATGCTAATTATGACGTCATAAACATGTGCATTTTCCCGTATTTTCTTAAAAAGTTGCAGAAGACACCAATTTTCAATGGAATTTTCTTTCAGATTACATTGTCCACAGGCATCGCCCACAAAGATCTTGCGATATGTGATTTGTTATTGAATTTTGCACAAAATATAAAAAAAAATTAACGTGGGCGACGGCTGTGGACACTGTTTTCTAAAGGAAAATCACCCTTGAAATGTGCCATTTTGAGACTTTTTCTGTTGAAAATAGAGAAATGCTTCACATTTATGACGTCATATTTGCAGAATGGTAATCTTTCATGCCATATTCTTTCCTGATTTATCAGACTGAGTCATTTATTTAACTAATATTTAAGCCAGTTTCAAAACTTTTTGATGTCATTACATTTTTAGGGCACAATAAAGCTTAAACCATACCTTCTTCTTTGTAAGGGTTTTCTTTGTGTTTTAACCAATATGTTTTTTGAGTAACTATCCATCATAATATAATATCCTGAGTTTGATTCAACAATGCCAAGAACGATAACAGCATTTCCAGACTTTTTTTTACATTTATGTTTCCCCGAACCTGAATAAACCTCACTTGGTTTATTTGAAAAATGTGAAGAGTATATACATTGAACAATTCAATAATTCAAAGAAAGGATTAGTTTTATTTAATGTATGATACGTAGTTTAGATGATCGAATAAAATATAGAGGTTATACCTGTAAATATTTAATATACCTTCATCGTGAGATTGATTAGAGTTATTAAGAAATACTTACAGTTGACATCCACTCTCTACAATATATTTCAGGAGGCTAGATAGAAACAGAATTACCACAATAGAACACAACGCATTCAGTGGTTTGACAACATTAAAGACACTGTAAGTTTGTAATTCAGAATACCAATACTGTCCCGTGTATGGATTCATTCAATGGTTGACAAAATTAAACAGACTTTAAATTCGTTCTTTAAAATACCATTGGGATATCAATAGCCAAACTATAATATCTCTTAAATTCATTCACCATTGACTTTTCAAAATTTATAACGCGTAAACTGTCCCATCATATTTATACCGCTTAAATTCCATGTATTGGCATTGTAAAACTAAAAGGAATTATACCCGTAATAATTTAAGCTTACTTTATTTCTAAGAAAAAAAAACTTTCAAGCAAAATTATTTTACTTGAAAAATTAAAAACATGCTCTTGACATACCCGGTATGCTTTTTTTTTTTTAAAACTAAACGAAAAACTACATAAAGAATGGCACACTTACTGGTTTGATGAACTAAGAGGGGCTGTAAGTTTTGTTTCTAAGAGTTTGATCTTAGAAAAAAAAAATTTCGGAGAAACAGTCCACCAAATTATAAAATCCGATTGTTTGATTCGAAATATTCAGAAAAAAGGCATTGTTTTCTTAGTTTTTTAATTTTTTTTTTAGAAAACCTGAATCATTTTATTTATGTGCAATATAAAATAAATTATTCCATGTCTGTTTTTGTTATCTTATGTTTTTATTTTTTTCGGTATTGGTGTTGTCTAGGGTGGTATTGTAGGTGTTTTTGAATTACATTGCATTTAAAGTTCAAAACAATTAAAGATGTGTGGCTTTCTAAGGTGGCAAGTATGGCTGTCGGCATAGTTGATGACCTTATATTATATTCTATTTTGTAGTATATTGTGACAAATATAGTACAGCGATATCATAATCACGAAGTTTTAACCGTATTACTTGATTACATTTTTTTAATGCATTGTGTTTTGATACGACCCCCGAATCCTGTCAGACGATGTCGGATGTGTATTGCCGCAAACGTTATTTTGTTTGCTTTTCGAGATTTTAATGTTGTTATGATGTTAAATTAATTGTTATCTATAGCTTCCTATATTGTATACATGATCAAATAATTAAAACGGTGTTTGTTTAGCGATTATTCGGTAAATTGTTACCTGGTATGTTTTCTCTTTTGCCGCATGGTTTGTTATTCCGGAAGTGCGGTTTCCCAGAATGCATTTTTCTTAAAATGTTAAAAGTTGTAAGCGGCGATTTATTTAATTAATTGTATGTCAATCTTCTTTATTTATTACGAAAGTTATTTTGTTTATAAAGTAGTTATAATATTTTACTTGTTTCTATTTTATGGTGAAACATGTGTACAACTTTTTGTAGTCGTGGGAATAAGGTTATCGCATATCGCCTGTGATTGGTTGATGATCAGGTGCGCGACGTTTCTTATTGGTTATCGTATTCTACGTCATTTCGTAGTATTTCATGACGTATATATAGTAAGAACGAGAGTTGCAGACAGCAGAGTAGACAGAGAGTAGATTACAGACAGTAGATTACACCAGTGTAAAGGTGTGTGTTTAATTTAGTTCTTTTGTTAAATTTAATTTGATAGTATTAAGTGGTGTGGGGGAAAACTTTATTCAGAGATTGAATAATATTTATTTACCAGTATATTACTGGTGTAGATTTTCATGATTACTGGTTCATTACCAGTTTAGGATTAAACTTAGGATTTTCATAGGTCTAAGAGAGTTAGACTTGCACATGAAATATTATTTACTGGATAAGATTCCAGTTATAGAGGTTTTTATAAGTTTGTGAAACACCAGAGATTTTGTGAAATGTTGAACAGTATTGTTTTGTTTCTGTGTCCTGTAAAATAAATTTATAAACTTCCAATGGAGTTCTTGACTTGTTGAAGACAGTCCAGTTAGCGTATCCGCACGTTACAATTTTGGCATCCACGGCGGGATCTGTAAAATTTACAGATCCAGTGACTGAATTCTGTACCTCTAAAAAAAAGTTTTTCATGTACCTGTAAGTTACAGGTTATTTTAAAGAAAAAAAAACATTTGGTATACAATACTGTTTACTTGCGTAATCTTGGTGTTTAATGTACAAGTTATTTTACTTGTTTACAAAGTAACTCTATGTCATGGGTTCTAAGAGAAAAGCTCGTAATCGCGCGGCAAGAAGAAGTCGAGATATGGATTCTCCTGTAAGCAGACACGTAGAAGAGGATGTGATGGTGGGTAGAGACTACAGTTCTGACGCATCTCAATCTGTCCAGTCTGAAAAAGAAGAAAGAAAACTGATTGAAACACCTGCTAATAACACAAACATTAGCACAAGACTGACAAGTTCTACTCCACAAACAAATGTAGAGTCCGAAATTTTTGCAACTAATGCAGGTAAATTACCTGCTGCAGATCATACATGTTTAGTACATGTTACAAACAATACCCTTTTGCAACACAATTCAGGTGATGTACCTGTAACATCCAAAAGCTCGTTTACACCAGTAAGTTTTACTGATGTAATACAGGTACCCAGCACACAAACTAGAGCTCCTACTCCTAGCTCTTTGACAAATGTATATAAGGGTAACAGCTCAGTGCACTCCCTATTTTCACATGAAGTAAGTGCTAGGCCAAAATTATTTTTGTCAGGTACTCAAGGTCCAGTAGCTTCACCTTTAGTGGGCTTAAGCAACACATTGCCAGATCATTTACAAAATTGCAACACTGGTTACTTGACAACATTCTCAACTGCAAATTCTGTACCTCACAATCATAGCCCTTCAATGACCAGAAGTACTTTCATGCATTGTCAAGAGCCACTGCACACAATTCAGTCAGTGCATGTACCAACTAGTTCAAAATCTTATTTTAATGTTGGCACATTAGGACCAGTCAATACAATGCCTGGTACACACAATACAGGTTATGTACCTGTCATATCTCATACTGGTCAGTTTTTACCAGTTTCCTCAGTCAGTACTCTACCTGCTGTTTGTACAGGTCATATTCCTGTTCCTACATCTTAAGGTAATATACCTATTGTTTCAAGTATGGGTTTCCCTTTTAATTACCCATCATCTTGCGTTGTTCAGAACGCCTCTACCAGCTGCACCTTTGGAAGAAGTCAAAATGGTGCTCCAAACAACAACACCAGTCAACATTTTCAGAACTATCTGGCGCCACCTAATGACGCTCCGTTGCAGATCCATAATGATAATGTGTCGCTAACCTCAAACATTGCCCAACTAATTCAGGCGGAGGTGGAAAAAGCAGTACAGAAACTGTCAGCCAAAATGCAGCATTCTAGGCCAGCGACCAACAAATTTCAGTATGAAGACAATTCTGACTCAGACCTGGAAGATGCAGAGTCCAGTGACGCTAGATCTTCAGTCGTCTTTCATGAAACCAAGTCCAGAGATTCCAGAGTAAAGTTACCTCCCTTTAATGGCAAAGAAGATTGGAAAATTTGGTATGCAAGATTTGAGGAGATCGCAGAAAGGAAGAGATGGAGTGAAAAACGAAAACTTGACGAGTTATTGCCACGTTTCTATGGGGTAGCAGCAGAATTTGTTTATGGCCAACTAACCAAATCTACTCGTAGAAGCTATAGGAAACTGACGGAGGAATTAAACAACAGATTTCGGGTTGTTGAAACTAGAAAGACCTTTATATCCAAGTTTAGTAACCGGCAACAAAAACCTGGAGAAAGAGTGGAGGATTATGCTGCTGAATTAAAACGATTGTATGACAAAGCACACACCAAGAGAAACTCCGAGACGCGAGAAGAAGATCTGTTACGAAGATTCTTAGATGGTCTAGCAGACAGCGATGCCCAGTTTCATGTCGAATATGTCAAAGAACCAGAGAATATAGACGAGGCCGTCCTACAAGTGGTAAATTTTGAAGAAACTGGTAGAGCACAGAAAAACAAGCAGAAAACTGTGAGACAAATCAAAGAACAGAAAACTGAAGCCAGAAGTGAGGCCTTTAAGAAGTTTCCAAAGGGAAGTCAGACCAGAAGTACAGCAAAACAGACAGAAGAACAACAAAGAAACAATGACTTAGAAGTACAGCTGCAAAAGTTAAGCAAGGAGTTAGAGTTTTACAAGCAGAAATATGGCACAAAAGAGGAGACTGAAATTTTAGCCGATAACAGGACTAACGAACTACAGCAAGTGACAAACCACATGAGTCGAAAATGGTGACAAAAGAATACCTACTATTGTCTGTTACTGCTGTAAACAAAATGGACACTATGCACGGGAATGTCCCCTAAAAATACAGCACAACCAGACTCAACAGCCTGTTGTTAGACCCTGTCCTTTAAATGGCCATTAGCCATTTCTGAGGGTCGAGGGATGGCTACAAAGATTACTACTGAGGACCGACAGACGGACAGTAGAGACTCTACAAAGGAAGAAAAACTAGATTCAACTACAAAAATAAACAGATTACCAAATACAACAGGAATTTATCTAGAGGGAACGGTGAATGGGTATTTTGTTCATTTTACTACAGATACTGGAGCTTCCACCAGTATTCTGTCTCACAGAGTATACAAGAAATTAAAGGATGATAAAAAAAACCTTTGTTGATAGGAAATTCTCAACTCCGAGGTGCAGGTGGGGCAAATATACCTGTTTATGGGTATGGATCCTTTGAAATTCAAATTGGAGAAGTAAGAATAGAGAAACAACTTCTGGTAGCAGACATAGAAGACGATACTCTGCTGGGAATGGACATTTTGATGGATAAAGAAAGTAAAGCCGAAATTCATCTGGACAGAAAAATTATAAAATTTTATGGACATGAAATTCCATGCATTTCAAATGATGATGAATCGAAATTGACTCTTAGATCAGCTGACCAATACACTATACCCCCTATGAGCGAAATGCTGATTCAGGCATTTGTTGAACGCAATCATGAAGAAGATAAAGAAATATTGTTCCTTTTTGAATCTTCACCAGAATTTACAGCTAAATCTTCATTGCTTGTGGCGCCAGCAGCGATTGATATTGTAAGGAAAGTTACAGTACCCTTGAGAATCATGAATCCTCTGGAAGAAGTAAAACATTGTACCAAGATACAGTTCTGGGAACTGCTGAGGTCTGTTTGGAGGTATCAAGATTGGGTTTACATGTAGCTGATGAAAACGATGTCAGAAGAGTAGCTGAAAATGGAGAGGGGTTGGAAGGTCAAACTGAAGAGGAATCTTTAGCACACTTGACAGATCTGTATGAGAGGTCTGTAAGCAACTTGTCCAAAGAAGAGGCAAAAACCTTGAAAACCCTGCTAAATAGTTATTCAGAAGTCTTCTCCAAAAATGAATGGGATTTAGGTAGAACTCACCTCACAGAGCATGAAATAATAACTGAAAATCATCGTCCTAATATTTCGTATCGGAAGAAGTCTCCGCCACCCACAAGAATGAAATCAGTTGTTTATCAAATGCCCAGACGACCATCAGCAAGGAAACCAGAGCCGTACTGAAGACCATCTCCCCTTGAGGATCTTTTCAAGCCTGAAAGAAATAGTAAACATGGACATTAACTTAATTTGTGCTAAGTATTTCTCCTCAGATAAGATAACTTGTTATAATATTATAATTTTATTGATAATTGGGAAGTAAGGTTAGAATTGGGATGGGTGGTGGACTTTCTGTGTATTTTTCATTGTAACTTCAAGCATCTGTGGTTTATTTTGCTTGAATTTATTTTATCATATTACCATATGTTATAATTGTAATGATAGTTTGATGTATGTACACTGTACATTGTATATACTTGAGGGTGTCTGTAGTAATAAGTTGGAGCACTTGAATGTATTTTGAGCAATGACTGTACAATCATTTTGAATGATTGAGAATTCATATTTTACTTGATGTCTTTGTTGAATGACTTTCATTGGAATTGGAAATTTATTTATGAATCTAATTATCTTTTGAGACAGTAACCTGAGAGATTGATCTATGTACTTACCTTTATTATTTTTCATGAGAGCTTAAGATTAGTAACATGAATTGTGTCCATCGGTATCCTCTGTTCTGATTAACTCTGTGAATGAAATCAAGGAAGATTAAGATATGTTACTTAAGTTACTACTTATAGTTATGATGTACATTTGTCTCTAAATTATTAGCATTAGCAAAGTACATTGTATGATTGTTGTCAGTAGTTTAGCATTTATGTGCAAGTACAGATGCACATATTTACATGATGTTATATTTTCATACTTACCTTGTCATGTTTTCATGCATTGTTGTCATATTTTCATATTTGCATTGTTGTTATAGAATCATCCTTCCATATATTGTTACATCACACTTTCATCTTGATTTGAGATCATCTTTTAATTCTTGCATTGTTGACATTTTTTTTTATTGTTGTAAAATAAGTCCAAAGGGACTTGGACCATTTTAACAGGGGGCAAAATGTGCCAAATATAGTACAGCGATATTATAATCACGAAGTTTTAACCGTATTACTTGATTACATTTTTTTTAATGCATTGTGTTTTGATACGACCCCCGAATTCTGTCAGACGATGTCGGATGTGTATTGCCGCAAACGTTATTTTGTTTGCTTTTCGAGATTTTAATGTTGATATGATGTTAAATTAATTGTTATCTATAGCTTCCTATATTGTATACATGATCAAATAATTAAAACGGTGTTTGTTTAGCGATTATTCGGTAAATTGTTACCTGGTATGTTTTCTCTTTCGCCGCATGGTTTGTTATTCCGGAAGTGCGATTTCCCAGAATGCATTTTTCTTAAAATGTTAAAAGTTGTAAGTGGCGATTTATTAATTAATTGTATGTCAATCTTCTTTATTTATTACGAAAGTTATTTTGTTTATAAAGTAGTTATAATATTTTACTTGTTTCTATTTTATGGTGAAACATGTGTACAACTTTTTGTAGTCGTGGGAATAAGGTTATCGCGTATCGCCTGTGATTGGTTGATGATCAGGTGCGCGACGTTTCTTATTGGTTATCGTATTCTACGTCATTTCGTAGTATTTCATGACGTATATATAGTAAGAACGAGAGTTGCAGACAGCAGAGTAGACAGAGAGTAGATTACAGACAGTAGATTACACCAGTGTAAAGGTGTGTGTTTAATTTAGTTCTTTTGTTAAATTTAATTTGATAGTATTAAGTGGTGTGGGGGAAAACTTTATTCAGAGATTGAATAATATTTATTTACCAGTATATTACTGGTGTAGATTTTCATGATTACTGGTTCATTACCAGTTTAGGGTTAAACTTAGGATTTTCATAGGTCTAAGAGAGTTAGACTTGCACATGAAATATTATTTACTGGATAAGATTCCAGTTATAGAGGTTTTTATGAGTTTGTGAAACACCAGAGATTTTGTGAAATGTTGAACAGTATTGTTTTGTTTCTGTGTCCTGTAAAATAAATTTATAAACTTCCAATGGAGTTCTTGACTTGTTGAAGACAGTCCAGTTAGCGTATCCGCACGTTACATATATTTTCATCAATTTTTGGAGACCTAATCTTTTTTTTTTTTTTTCTCTTTTATTGATAACAAACAATGATATAAATAACACACAGATATACTACATTACACATTGACATTTGATGATTCTTTTCACATAGAATAAAGGAAAAAGAAAAGTATTGACATTAAAATTTTGATGATCTTTTCACATAGAATAAAGAAAAAAGAAAAGCTATATATAATACATACACAGAAAAAACTGTTTCTTTTCACATAGAATAAAGAAAGAAGAAAAGCTATAATCGATTTGAGACAATTATTAAAAATGATAATTATACTTATAATCATGATAATAATAGATAACATATGAGAAGCAAATGTGTAAATACTTGTTTAATGGAATTATAAAGAATATAGTATGTTCCTATGTTAGCATGATAGGCCACCTTCCACACATTCACGAGTCCACAATGCCCACATGCTAACACACAGACTCCACAACTGGTTTTGTGGACCTGCTGGTAACATATATTTACATTTACAAATTAAGACAAATTAAGAGACCTAATCTTTAATTCGTTATTTATTCAATGCAATGACCTTGTCAGTAAATACAATTTATCATTGAGTCAAAAGCTGACTGAAGTTTTTAATACTAATTGTTAGTCCATTATTTATACACTGAACTGACAACGAAATGTTCCGTTATTTCCTGATCATGAAAATTAGCACACGGCGGATGTTACCGTTCGGCAGGGGATGCTCACTCCTCCATGTCACCTTTTCCCGCCTCTGAATTTTTGGATGTTAGTCTTGGCTCTGCTCCAGTTTTCTATTGTTTTATGGACTTAATTATTTAATAGTGCTCGTTTTATCCATTTCCCTAATTATACTATTCCCTGTTTACAGTGTAGAACAACTTGCATCAGGATGATGGCATAAATAATAACCCATTTTTGTAGTGTTCTGTTCTTACATTGTAAAATATAATAACATCAATATGACTGTCTGAGGCACATAGTTGAAGACTTGGTACTGTGTTATATTTTTAGGACTAGATAAAAATATATCTGTACTAAGCCCACTGTATTTCATCAACGTGAAATATGAAAATAAGAACAGATATCAATCTCAAATATCAAGCAAAACAACGCTTGACTACATGAAATATTGTTTTTGTTGGCAAGGGCATTATACTAGCTGTGGAGTATGCGATATGATAACCTCGGACGAGTCTGTTTGTGGTCTTTTATCATGGACTTTATTTTTGTATGACTTGCCTCGTTTTGGAAAGTGTTCGTACCTGAAGCATGTGCCTGCATATATCAAGTCGTCTGTGGACATGGGCTTCATATGTAACGTCTCTTTCTAGTAGGGGATTCAAATGTAGATGTTTTAACCTTGTGTTGTTGTTTGTTCCGCGTTTATGGGGTGTATAGGATAAACGTTGGAATATAAATACCAAAATACGTCTTCTTATGACAGGCTACGATGAGCACAAGTGAAAATTCTGAAAGATTGCTCGTAGACTTGATTCTACTACTGGTACATACAGGTAGATATTTGACAGTTACAGGAAATGTGTAGTTAATTCGTGCATTTGATGGTTTGTTGAACTGTTTCTCCTTTAGTTGCTACATTGAAGGTTTTGATATTTCTCATTAGCCTCCACTGAAGGGACACTTGTTAGCTGCAATAATATATCCCTCTCCATTTTTTCTTTTATGGGAGAGGGCTACAGCTCTTTAGGATCTCCTTTATGGTGCAATAAGGCAGAGATTCACTCCAACACGGATTTCGGCTAAAATTGTCAGTAAACGGTTATTTTATTAATATGTCTTACCTTCACTTCCATATTATAGTTATCCCAGACATAAATCGATTTACAAATATACAGAACAATCCATTTATCCGTATTTTTCGTGTATTTCAACATCACAACTGAAATTTGTCGGCCATGTTTACTGACCTTAAAATCGCTGTTTACGAAAAAATAACACAATATCTTTCAGGCAACTAGAAAAAAACAGAATATCTACAGTAGAGGACAATGCATTCAGTAGTTTGACAAAATTATACTACATGTAAGTTGATCATTATCAATTTCCCAACCCTTTACATCTGAAACATTCATTTATTCAATGATATAACAAGATTACAGGGAATTTAAGCTTATTGTTTTAAATATTTTTTTTCTATCATATCAGTCTTTCATACTATATACCTTGCCTTCGTTCTAAATTGGTGCTTTTTGGTGTTAAAGAGCAAACTTTCTCATTTATTTAACTTGAAAGGGGTGTTTTTCACATCCATTCTTCATTAATTCATTCATCATAAACGCTTTGCATTTAATAAAACGTAAACTGTCCCATCATGTCTTACATGTACCGATAACATTCCATGTATTAGTATTGCGAATCTAGGCGAAAATATACCCTTAATAGTTGAAACTCATCTGTATTTTCTTTCTTACAAAAACTAACTTTCAAGGAAAATTTATATAATTATTTGCTTGAAAAAAATGCTCTTGACATTTGCTTTTTTTTTTTAGATCTCTGGAAAATAACGAAATAACTACAATCAAGAACAGCTCACTTACCGGTTTGACGAGTTTAAAGAATCTGTAAGTTTTATATCAAAGAGATTACATTTTAAATAAAATTCCACTATGATATTTTACAAAATAAAATGAAGTTCATTTTCTCATGAACCAACTTGCAAATCCCTTTATTCTGCACAAATCACTTATTTCTTTCATAATTGAAAAGCCCGATCTCTTTATGACGTTTTCCCTGATGGTATATGTTCAGATGTAAAAAATAAGAATATAAGAAATTTAGCTTTTTTAATGTAAAACACTTAAAAGCGTGAAGAGTTATTTTTTGCAAAAATGTTCTTAAATTAAAATAATATTGCAATTCTCTTCAACTTTTAGAAAGTTTAATTGTACAATTAAATAGATTGACCAAAATTAATTTTCTAAAGATATAAGTCAGCAATTATAAGTACTTGAAGCTTGATTTTTTGATTTTTGATTTTTTAGATTTTTTATTAAAACCTGTATTCCTTTTGCATAACATTTCTTATATTTATATTCTTATATCTAATTTCTAATATCTTATATTCTTACATTTCTCACCCACTATTGAAATAATAATTTCAATAGTGGTTGTATTTCAATAGTGGTTATTACCTATGTTTGTTATTAAAATGTACTCTCAACCACTATTGACATAATTATTTCAAAAGTGGTTGTATTTCAATAGTGGTCACTAACTATGTCGGTTATTGAAATGCACTCTCAACCACTATTGATATAATTATTTCAATAATTGTCGTTATTTCAATAGTGGTTGCAACATATATACTTCTGAACACATATAGAACGTGGAGTATAGCTTTAACTATGCTAGTGATAAAAATGAATTGCACTTATAGCAGAAATAGTTGTTATAGTAGTTTGAATGAAATTGAACTCGGGTTCATAGTGTAAGAAAACAAAGAAAATGCAAATATATCAAAATGACTGTCTGAGGCAACATCGTTGAAGACGTGGTACAGTATGTTTTTAGGACTAGATAGAAATATATCTGTACTTAGCCTCTTGTAAATCAATATGTTGACTTCATGAAAGATTGTATTTGCTGACAAGAACATTATACTAGCTGTGAAGTATGCGGGATGTTGACCTTGGACAAGACTTTTGATGGTCTTTTTTTTCTAAATTGTTATTGTATAGCTTGTATCGTTTTGGAAATTGTTTGCACGTGAAGTATGTGTCTGCATATCGATCTAGTCTGCTTGGGACATGGGCTTCATATGTGGGTGATAATGGTACATTGTGAAATAGATAGGAGAGGTTGACGATGGAAGAGTTGATGTCGTGACCTTGTTGTGGAGTTTTGTTGGTGACATACCAGTGCCGACTCTTTTTAGGGGGAAATAAATGTAGATGTTTTTGACTCTTTTGTGTTGTCCTTGTTTCGAGTTCATGGGGTATATAGGATTAACGTGGTAATATAAATACAAAAATATGCCTGTTCATAACTTGGTATGATAAGAACACTTGAAAATTCTGAAAGACTGTTGGTAGACTTGATCCCAAGAACTATCAGTGCATCTATACAGCTGTATTTGACAATTTACAGGAAATATGTTGTTAATTCCTAATGGTTTGTACCAATGCTACTCTGTTAGTCGCTAATTGTGAGGTTTTGATGTTTCCCATTCGTCACCACTGGAGGGGGCACTTGTCCATAACTTGTAATGTTATCAACAAGTTTGTGACGTACTTGTTCTCCTATCATTCTCGTCAAATCTTAAGGTGGAATTCCACACCAACTCTTTATTTTATAGATCTTTGGGTCATTCTCTTTAAACAATGGTTTCAGCATTGAAAGGCCGATATTAGCTCTTAATAATTTTGTATGAATTTTTTTTGTATTTTTTCAAAGATAGTGAATAAAAAATATTTATATCCAAATAAGTTGCTGGTAAGACTTTCTAATTTAAAAAAAAAATTATTTATAAAATAAAACACATTATTTGTGAATAATTTTTAAACCTATGGTTAAAACACCATAAAACTAGTCACAACTGATGACAACATGTTTGTCAATCAAATTTTTAAAAGAAATTGAATCGAAATTGAGAAATTTTAGAATTTTTTTTTTAATATTTGGACTTAACCCGATCAAAATGAACACAAAATAAATAAAATGCTAATTTATTGCCTCTTCATGTATTTACAATAAAGAAATATATTTATTGTCGAGTTCAATAATGATTTGACCCTTATTACACCTAATCTGACTAGTGTTCTTGGGAAATGTTATTTTTTCCGATAATTGTACAATTATGGTTGGGATCGGTTAAATTTTGATCGGGAGTGGCCAAAATTAAAAAAAATATTTATTTCTCTAAAATTTGGCCTTTTCCTTTCAATTTCTTTCATAAATATGAACATGTTCTCCCCAGTTGTGACTGGTTTTAAGAAGATTTTTACCACAAGTTTAAAAAATATTTACAAATTATGTGTTTTATTTTCATAAGTATTGTTTTATTCAAAAAATTTCAATATATTTACCCTATTCTTTACATATTTTATTAGGTATTCATGTGATGCATTCATTTACAGCAAGATTTCTACAACAAAGCAACTTACTGTAAAATCACAGTATTTGGATGTAAATATTTTTTTTTCACTTTTTTGAAAAATACAAAAAAATTATATAGAATAATTGAGAGCTAATGTCGGCCTTTCAATGCTGAAACAATTTTTTAAAAAGGTTGACTCAGAGATCTATAAAATGAAAAGTAGCTGTGACATCTCGATCCATTATAATATTACATTGTGCGTCTAAAGAAAAATATGATTTTCTTTCGGTTTTCTAATTGATAATGTTTTAAACCTGAGTAACGAACAGTGTGATACATAAAACTCACTTGATTGATTTGAAATATGTGAAGTGTAAATACATTACAATACAATAAAATATAAGGAGATAACATAGAATACTCGGGCTCAAAAGTCCAATAAAACAATACACTTCGGGAGCAAAGTTAACATGGACCTATATATAACATCAGAGATGAGATCAGATGCCATGGAGGAGATAGCATCCCCTGTCGACCGGTTGTATTCACCGGCTCACTGTTTTTCATGATTATAATTTTTTTTAAAGATTGAGGTAAAGTTGTAATGAATTTTCAGGGTGACAAATACTTATACTTGATTTTCAACCTTCAAATTTCTTTCAGGGATCTACAAGATAACAATATATCAACAATAGAGGACAATGCATTCAGAGATTTGACAAAATTAGAGAAACTGTAAGTTCGTTTTTCAATTTTTTTGCAATATCAATTGTAAAAAATTTAGAGTTGTAAAGGAAGGAAAAGAAAATAATAACGATTTCATAATGGAATTGAAACTGAACAGACACTTTTATTCCTTTCTTAAATCCTTAATTGTATACGTAAGAAACTAAGCATTCAATCGTTCAAACTTTCTTTTAGACGTCTTTTTAGGAACAGGATATCCTCCATAAAAAACACTACAATAAGCGGGTTGACAAATCTACGAGAACTGTAAGTATCTAAGAATAGAATAAAGTAACATGAGTTAGAACAACCTGGTTATTAAAAATATTTCAGAGGATATAAGGAGTGTTGAAGATTGAACGAAAATTATATTACCCACATTTTTCATTTAAATATTCTTTTTAAATATATCCTTCATAAGAACTACGAATGTTATAATCGTCGTTATAATCGAACTTTAGTTGAGTTACTCGACTATTTAAGAAATAAAGTCCGCGTTTTCGTGAATGTTGCAGAATAACCTCCGAGGTCGAGAAATGTTGTTTGAAAGATAAAAGCCGAGGCGCTAGCCGAGTCTTTTATATTTCAAACAACATTTCGAGACCGAGGAGGTTATTCTGCATCATTCACGACAACAAGGACTTTATTTCTTTTCTACCAAGTATGGTACAAACGCTAAATTAGGGATAATCGTTCCCTCTATAGAGAAACGAATTAAGTCACCATGTCCAGATTACGCGGTTTCACTTAACACCAGAGGTAAAATTTGTTTGCTTACCTGTACATAGAATGCAGACGATTTGAGCTTTCGTTACATTAAAAATAGCCTTATTAAATTACAAATATGTTCCTAATATGTATTGATCAGTTAAAAAGAATATACAATAACAAAATCATGTTCCTGTTTTACTGCTAAAATCACGTTGTTTGAAGTGTAGGGAGGTCCGTGGAATAGCCCCCCTTAGCTATAAAAACCGACATTAATCAGCATCTTGATGCAATTTACAGTGTTTATACGGCAAAAGACGACACATCGATGCGGTCTAAACAAGTATTTCATTCTACAGCCAAACATGCATTTGAATTGTTAAGATTTGATACGTGTTTCTGATCTGATAATTTTTTGATGACGTTCGTGATTTATTGGAGAATAATGTCCGGCGGTTTCCTTTGAAGTTTACGATAATCGTGGTAGAATCCTTTATAACCCTCATTTATATATAATTTATCACAAAGGTGTGATACTACCAATGAGAAAAGCCTATGATTTATCCACGGTAGGTGGTTAATCAAAAGCACTCTCGGTTTTTACACAATCCCTCGCTTCAAGATTTTCATTTATCAACAATATGATTTGTGAAAATTCTTGTCAATAAATACTGATGATAAACAAAACTCTTGTTCTAAAAAATGATGAAAATTAACAAAAAAGATTCGTTTACGTGAGTGTATACGTAGTGCAAAGACAGAATCAACTTCCACCTTCCCCCGTAAATCGTTTTTATAAGAAACACTTTACAATTTTTTGTGGCACGCAGAGAAGTCTTATAGCCACTTTCAACAATGCTTTCTTACATTAGACTGATTATATTTTAACCCAAAATGGAACTCGAGTAGTATAAATTGTGTGATTATTAAAAATGGAGTTTTATGAAGAGACTTACTTTTACATTTGACAGCTGTCTTTTACATTCTAGTGATTGAAGTTTGTCTCTGTTTAAATTGTAAAAGTCAGTCGTCAATTGTAAAAGTAAGTCTCTTCATAAAACTCCATTTGTATCATTTAGTATTTGCTTTATCAAACGTGTTGAAATGGTGTATATTTGCTCGGCAAGACTCTCTTATATATTCCATTTTAACTATGTGAAGCAAATATCATATCACGCTATCTAGATCCTGAGGGAGGATCTAACGGTCCTTTCTGGATGTGGTTACCCGCAAACATTATTAATCAAGGGAAATAATTAAACAATTAGGGTTTAAAAGTCCATAGTGTACTTTAAATAGGTCACAGATATTTAATGATAAAAAAGATTGTTCTTCCATATACTTTTTTCAAAATTTCTTTGATGAGTTAAAATTCTGCGTTTCTTTTTTTTAGTATATATGTAAATCATTGTTCACCATTTTTTTTTAAAGAAATGAATTTAATTTTTGAAGATTCATGAGGTTATGAACTACGAAGCTTCACGCCGGCATATTTCATGAAGCGCGTTAGCGCTTCATGATAAATATGCCGGCGTGAAGTATCGCGCTTCATGAAATATGCCGGCGTGAAGCGTTGTAGATCATATACCTCATGAATCTTCAAAAATTAAATTTATTTCTTATATTTACATTATTTTACTGATGACTTGCCTTAAATTTACGCCATTCAACTGTCATTGTTAAAGTAAAACAGTGTGCACTATATTTTTTAACTTCAAGAGCCTGAGCGGTATTGTGACGTAACAATGGAGATATTCATGCTTATTCGTGGTACATACGTGATGTAGTTTATGAGAAAATGAACTGCATTTTTTTTTGGGGGGGGGGGTAAAGAATCATAGGGAAATTTATTTGAAATATAAATATTAAAGGTTGAATAGTATTCAGAAATTCAAATGCATGGACTTTTTTATTTTATCCAGGAAAATACAGGATAATCCTTATCACTGCGATTGCGAGTTAATAGGCCTGGTCGATTTCCTTAAATCTGGACGTGTCCCCGTATCTGGAGATCCACGCTGCTTTACTCCTGAGAATTTGAAAGGAACTTCATTGGTCAGTCTATCAGCTGCAAATTTGACCTGTCCGGACATAACAACTGTAGACACCACAACTTATGAAACGAATTCTTCACCTTTGAAAGAAGGGAACTTTCTGGTTATAGCATACATGTCTTTATGCTCGCTTGTTAAAACCATGACTGACTTTTAGAATATATTAAAAAAAGCGAATACAGATATTTATTTCAAAACAATTCGAAAGAAAACGCTAACAATGACTTAAAATTAATGAAAACAGTGGACAAACTATCTATACCCTTGAAATATCAGTGAATTTTTCGAATATGCTCACATTTCCCGGGAAATAGTGGGAAATAGGAGATACAAGAGATAACTATAAAGTTAATCATATTTGGTTGGGTATAGATCTGTAGAACATTAAAGGATAAGATTAACATCTGGTATAACTGTTTTGGATTTAAAAATCTGGTTAATCCTAGAATTTTAAAACTTAAACATAACACAGTTTACTAAAATTCCTTCCCATTATTTCTTTTTGCTCGGGTCAGATTATTCTATAAAGGTCAATCAAAAACTTAAAGGTCTCATTAAGGTCTACCGTTTTCCAACGGAAGACCTTCTACTGATTCTGATGATTATTAAGGTCTTACGTCTTCAGCGGAATACCTTCTTGTAATTCTTTAGGTTACTTTTCCACTATTTAAGGTCTTCCGTCTTCAGCGAAAGACCTTCTTGTTATTCTTAGGTTTCTTTTCCACTATTTTTATTAAAGTCTTCCGTCTTCAGCGGAAGACCTTACTGTTATTCTTAGGTTTCTTTTCCACTATTTAAGGTCTTTCGTCTTCAGCGGAAGACCTTCTTGTTAATCTTAGGTTTCTTTTCCACTATTTTTATTATTATTATTGTTTTTTTTCCTTACCGATTTTGTGTACACGATTTCTCGGAAACGGCTCGCTTGATTTTCATGAAACTTTCAGGACTGATAGAACATCAAACAAACCTGATACATAATTTTTTGTTATGATGACGCCACTTCCGGTTTTGAGATTTTTGCGATTTAGTGATTTTCAAGGGGTCAGTTTGTCCGTGATTTTCTCAAAAACGGCTTAGGAAAAAACTTGACTGATAGAACATCAAACAAACCTGATATATACTGAACCGTAAAAGAAACGTCGCATTAGATTTTGAAAAAGTAATGCACTTATTTCGAAATAAATAATAACGAATATGTAATTGATGTTATATGTTTTTAATTATCTAACAATTGTCTTAGAGTTATACACATTCAATTTAATGTCAAATAATGTCAATATCACAGATTCCTATTGTCCTGAGTGCACTTCCGCTAGTAACGTGTATGGCCACCATTGGCATTAATTACAGCCATGCATCTTCGATACCTAGAGTTGATGAGTCGATTGATGAAGGCCATAGGAATAGTCGCCCACACACGCTGATACACCATAGAAAGTTCAGCAGAAGTTGTCGGTCTTGGTTGTTGTTGGTTAGCTTAAAGGCTGGATGTGATCCCATAAATGTTCAATGGGGTTTAGATCGGGACTAAGAGCTGGCCAGTCAATAACTGCAATGTTGTTCTGATGCAGGTAGTCCCTAGTTATTCTGGCTGTATGCGCACGCGCGTTATTTTGCTGGAACGTCTTGTGTGGATGTTGGTTGAAATGCTGTACAACATGAGGCCTCAGGACTTGATCAATGCAGCGGAAGTAGTAAAAAATTGCATATTTTTGCCTTTCTTGAAAGGTTTAGGGGTAACATAGGTCACTGGATGCTTAAATCTTAATTTTCCGTCCGTCGACGTCACTTCCGGTTTTTGTTTTTCTATTTCTGTATTCAAAATGGCGTTATATAGGGGTCAAAAATTAGAACGCCTAAAAGAGTGAATATTTACATATATTTTCCATTTTATCTTCTAAATTAAAATTATTTTATAAAAACATGTAGAACAAAACTTCTGCAGAATTACAAGATCTTTCAATTGATATATCGGAAGAAGGGCTAACCCCTAAATTAAGGGATTTAGAGGGGCCAAACGTTTTTTCCAGATATCTCAAAAAGTATTGAGAATTTGTAATGCATCAAAAAAGCAAACTTGTTGAAAATGTCAAGCTTAATCTAATGGACTCGTAAAAATACGTCCAGCATCGTCACTTCCGGCCAAACCGGAAGAAGTCGGAAAACGCGTATTTTGCCGTTTTTGACAAGTTTTTGGGTAACATATGTCTCTGGGAGCTTAAAACTTTATTTTCCTTGCGTCGTCGTCACTTCTGGTCAAACCGGAAGTAGCAAAAAATGGCTTACTTTTGCATTAATTAACATAGCTTTAGAGGATTCAAAGCATTTTTGGGCGTTATTTCTCATTTTTGTTAAAAACGAAAGCTACTTCCGGTCAAACAGGACGGAAGACCTACTCGTTACTTTGCAACGAGCTTTGCTCTAGTTTAGACTACTGCTTTGTACCCAGAAATGATCTAGGAATTTAGAGTAAAATATAGTATAAATATCAACACCAAAGAAGAAGCTTTCAGACCTACCATGTAAATATAGTTCAAAAATAAACTCAAAACCGTCCATTTTTTGAAAAAAAGAACTCCTTGTTAAGCATAATAATATAGATGGATAATAACAATTCATTGTGTTTTTGGATTTATAATTAATACACGTTATAATTGTATAAAACTGAAATGAAACGTTAATCAAAAACTTGAGTTTTGTTCTTGAAATACAATCTTGGAAACATGTTCTGCTGCGTAATGTTTATGGGAAAGGGGCCTGGGGTAGTGATATATTATGAATATTAGAAAATACATAGACATACTCAGTTTTATTTATCTATATGCTTATTTTAATTCTTAGCTTTTTATAGGATTTAGTGAAATAAAGAAATAAAATTTTATTTTGTATTTCCCAGTATATCCTAGGTTAGAGATTTTTTTAGTATTTCCTGGTATTCCCCGGTCAATTGTGGTACTTAGGTTTTAAGGTTATCGTATGAGATATTAATAAATGTTATACCATTTTATTTGTAATACGTTATGGAATAATAGCTCCTTAGACATATTGAAAAATTTATCGATAATACAATGTATAATTGACAGTTGCAATGAATTGACCATTCAAATATAAAGAATACCTTCATGAATAATTATCACATATGTGTAATGTAATTGTTGTCATATTGTCATAAATATTAAATGAGAATGTCAAATAATTGGTAGTACCAGTTTCTTTATAATTATACAGTGATATATCATACTAATATTGATGTTATTATATTTTATGTCGTCCTCTGTCTTTATATTTTCTATTAAACAAAAAACATAGCCTTGGTGAGTTTTTTCTCTTTGTTTCCTTAGATTCTGTGATTCTGTGATTCATGTAGATTTTCGGGGTTTTTTTCTGAGCGTAATGTTGATTTCATCTGTCAGACACATCTGCTTCATATTTGGATATTTTACTTGAAGAAGACGTTAAAAATTAATAGCATATTTATTAAATTGAAAATTACCAATAAAAGTCATATGTTTAGCCATGCAAATTAGAGCTGTATATAAAGAAAAACTGAGATATTCATTTCAGGGCCATTTGAGTCACTTTTCATTTATAGTTCTTTAAAAATGCAAGTTTCTTTCATCACACTTCATCTGGACAGGAAACATTCTGAAGACATCGTCAATTTGTGATATATGGACAAAACGAACAGTATACGAGCTCAAAAGTGCATCAAACATTACAAATCAGGAGCAGAGGAAACAGGTACATCTAAAACATCAGAGGTGGGATAACGTGTCATGGATGAGTGAGCATCCCCTGCCGACCAGTTATAACCACCATGTGCTCCAAGTCATCGGGAAATAACGGAAAAATCCGTCTAAAATTCATTATATAAATAATGAACTAACAATTCAATTCACTGTAAATAATTCTCTAACAATCAGTATCAAAAACGTCAATTAGCATTTGACTTATTGATGAATTATATTTCCTTACAAGGTCACTGTATCGATCATAGGACTTACAAAATGGTTACTAAAGGATGTTTAAGGCACAGATTTGATGTTAATATATTTTCAAATTCCCTGTATAATTTCATACATGTATCTTATATGTTGCTTTAGAATTACATATACGAAAATATAATAAAAATCTTATTTTTTTTAGAAGTTATCAAAACTTCAAAATTCTAGACGCCTTTGATTGACACATCCTTGCACCTTCACAATTTTTAACTTTATCCTTGATACTTAAAAAAGTATCACTTAGTTATGTATTTATGAAAAAATATTTAAACTATAGTCAAGAAATTCAGAGTAGAAATGTGCGAAGACAAATCAAACCAACACGTCAGGGTTTTTTTTTCATCCATAAACAATTAAACACACCCAGCGAAACGTAAACATTAACAACAACAGAGCTCGTGTCCTGTTTACCAAAACTGTGTTGGTTTCAGGGGTGTACTCAATTTGTTAAACTCCATACACAACATTAAACATGGGCTGACATTACTAATGAATAGGTTTGCTTTCGCATATTTCTACTCTGAATTTTCTGGATTATAGTTTTAATATTTTTCATTAATACATTACAAATTTGCTACTTTTCTTCACAAAAATAAGATTTTTTTTTATAATTGTATGTAATGCTATAGCAACATATAAGTCATGAAATCGTACAGAAAATCTGAGAAAATATCAACATGAAATATGTTTCTAAGCACCTTTAAAACGAGACAGCTGATATTCCTATTTCTTCCATTTGTTTCTTATTAACGTGTCAATTAATCTCCTATGTCATATCCGCCAATATCATTTAATTCACTCTACAACCTAGGTCATTTCACTCTACAACCTTAGTCATTTCTCTACAACCTAGGTTATTTCACTCTACTACCAAGGTCATTTCTCTACAACCTAGGTCATATCATTCTACAACCTAGGTCATTTCTCTACAACCTAGGTCATTTCTCTACAACCTTAGTCATTTCTCTACAACCTAGGTCATTTCACTCAAAAAAAGTCATGAAATCGTACAGAAAATATCAACATGAAATATGGTTCTAAGCACCTTTAAAACGAGACAGCTGATATTCTTATTTCTTCCAATTTTTGTCATTAATATGTCATTTATCTCCTAGGTTATTTCCGCCAATATCATTTCACTCTACAACCTAGGTCATTTCACTCTACAACCTTAGTCATTTAACTCTACAGCCTAGGTCATTTCACTCAAAACCTCAAGTCATTTCATTCTACAACCTAGGTCATTTCACTCTACAACTTACGTCATTTCACTCAACAACCTAGGTCATTTCACTCTACAACCTAGGTCATTTCAATTTACAACCTTGGTCATTTTACTTTACAAACTAGGTCATTTAACTCTACAACCTTGGTCATTTACTAGATATCTTAGTCGTTTCACTTTACAACCTGGGTCAACCTAGGTCAACCTAGGTCATTTCACTCCAAACAGAAAATTTATAGATGGGAATTTTTCGATTTTTATGCGCCCGGATCGAAAGATCCGAGGCGTATATTGTTTTTTTCCTGTCTGTCTGTTT